TTTTTGAAAGATCTTTCAGGATGAAACTTGGGGTGGGAGAGATTTTCCCTTCCTCTGAACAGCTGTTGCTGCTATTAGAACATTAAACTTAGCTTTGAAACATTTTTATTTTTGAAAGTCACTTACGCCCCTGCTTAAAACCTTAATTCTCTTCCCACGGGGTTTTCATAGTCCAGTAAACAGTTTGCCAATGCACATGTTTGGTATTGTAATGGGAGAAGGTCATCATTCCCTCTGTGCTTGTATGGTGAATCAACAAAACTAGTAAGCATCTCTATTTCCAAGTTTACTTTCTCCTAAGATTCAAGAAGTACCTAAGGTCTTTGGAAAGTTGTCCTGTCCTTGGAGTGAGTACCAGTTTCCAAAGGATTCTAGCTATGGCAAATGCCAGTAACTTATTTATTCATTCAGTGAGTATTGAGCATTATTATGTGTCTAGTACTCTTGTAGGTACCAACAATAAGTGACAAATAAGACAGGTGCAGTTTCTGCTCTCATAGACCTTTATGGGGATAAAGAACAAAGGCATGAAAAAATATGTAATATATTTATAGATGGTGATAGATCAAGAATGATAGAAGTAGTGCTATTTTCAATAGGTTGGTGAGGAAAGCTTTCTCTGAGAAGGTATATTTGAGTAGAGACCTGGATAAAGTGAAGGAATAAGCTATGGGAATGTGATTACTGTGCTTGAGAAGCAATAGGAGGCTGTATAGCTGGAATGGAAACATGGAAGGGAGAATGATCCGAATGAGGTGGGAGAATTATGTAGAACTTTACAGACTATATGCTATTGGAAGGCTGAGACCAGGGGATCCATAATCTCATTTATATTTTAAAAGTATTACCCTGGCTGTTGTGTAGAGAATAAATGATAGCAGGCAAGAGGGTAAGCAGGGAGACTAATAATGACATACTCTTATTTGGTGACCTGAAATATATCCAGTAGTGGTTTAATGATTTTTTAATAAGCAATTAAATTATAGTCTAGCATTGGACAAAGAAGTTCTGGTATACATATGTATATATACATATATATACATATGTACATATACATACATATATATGTATGTATATGTATATATGTATATATATGGCTCTCTTCAGTTCAGATTTTTCTCAGAGATGGGTAACTTCAGGGTCACTGAGAACATAAATCCTAGCCCTTTAAGATTAACACTTAGTGTCTTTGACAGTTGGTTTTCATTCGCTTAAATTTTTTTCTTACTAGGAAGTGAAAATATTCTTTGTAGAAAATATGGAAAATAAAGTAAAAAGTGAAAACCATCTATAATTCTTTCATCTAGATATAGTATTTTAGCTGACTCTTGACAGTTATTTTGCTCACATTTCTGGAGGATTTCTATTTCTGCTTATATAGGTGAGAAAACAGAGGTTCAGGCAGACTTTAATTACTTGTTCAGAATTAGCAGAGTAATTACTGTCATATTCTTAGTGCTTTATTGAGGTTCTTAGCCAGCCCCTGAATGTCATGAAAATGGTGTTAGTTATCAAGTTCTAGATATGAACAGTGAATAACTCAATATACTGTGACAAATAAAATTAAGAGACACAATTACAATCATTTTTTCCCTTATCCTTAAGGCCAGTGTTCTCAGATGATGTTGCAATTTATAAGATCATTGTGGACCATGTATTTCCCTAGAAAAAAGAGATTCTGTCTCTCAGATTTATAACATGACTATACAGGAGCGCCTGGGTGGCTCAGTCGGTTGGAAGACCAACTCTTGATTTCGGCTCAGGTCAATGATCTCAGGGTCCTGGGACTGAGCCTCACATAGGGCTCCCTGCTTAGTCAGGGGTGTGTGGGGGATCTGCTTCTCTCTCCCTCTACCCCTCCCCATACTCGTGTGTGCATACACGTGCTCTCTGTCTTCTCAAATAAAATTTTAAAAAAATGCAACAGGTTTCTGTTGATTTTGTATTCTGTGACTTTACCGAATTCATGTATCAGTTTTAGCAGTTTTTTCATGGAGTCTTTCCAGTTTTTGGTATAGAGTATTATGTCATCTACAAATAGTGAAAGTTTGACTTCTTCCTTGCCAATTTGGATGCCTTTTATTTCTTTTTGTTTGATTGCTGTGGCTAGGACTTCTAGTACTATGTTGAATAAAAGTGGTGAGAGTGGACATCGCTGTCTTGTTCCTGACCATAGAGGAAAAGCTTTTAGTTTTTCCCCATGGAGGATAATCTTAGCTGTGGGTTTTTCATATAAGGCCTTTATTATGTTAAGGTATGTTTCTTCTGACTCTACTTTGTTGAGGGTTTTTATCTTGAGTAGAGGTATTTTGTCAAATGCTTTTTCTGCATCTATCAAAATGTTCATATAGTTGTTCTTTTTATTTATGTGGTGTATCACATGGATTGATTTGCAGATTTTTTGTTTTTTAATTAGGCTCCACCCCCAGCATGGAGCCCAGTGTGGGGCTTGAACCCATGACTCTGAGATCAAGACCTGAGCAGAGATCAAGAGTTGGATGCTTAACCGACTGAGCCACCCAGGCACCCTGATTGATTTGCAGATATTGAAACACCCTCGCAATCCAGGAATACGTCCCACTTGATCGTGTCGAATGATTTTTTTAATGTATTGTTGGATTTGGTTTGCTAGTATTTTATTGAGAATTTTTGCATCTGCATTCATCAGGGCTATTGGCCTGTAATTCTTTTTTAGTGCTCATGTGCACAAAAGAGCGGGGTGAGGGGCAGAGGGAGAAGCAGACTCCCTGCTGAGCAGGGAGCCTGATGTAGGGCTCAATCCCGGAACTTTGGGATCATGACCTGAGCCGAAGGCAGACGCTTACCCAACTGAGCCACCCAGGTGCCCTCTTTAGTGATGTCTTTATTTGGTTTTGGTATCAGGATATTGTTGGCCTTACAGAATGAATTTGGAAGTTTTCCTTTGTTTTCTATTTTTTGGGGGTAGTTTGAGAAAAATAGGTATTAATTCTTCTTTGCATGTTTTGTAGAATTCGCCTATGAAGCTATCTGGACTTTTGTTAGTTGGGAGATTTTTGATTACTGATTCAATTTCCTTGCAGGTTATGGATTTGTTTCTTCCTGTTTCAGTTTTGGTAGTTTATGCATGTCTAGTTATTTATACATTTTTTCTAGGTTGTCCAATTTGTTGGCATACAGTTTGCATAATATTTTCTTAGTAATTGTATTTCTGTTGGTTATTTGTCCTCTCTCATTTGTGATTTTATTTGGGTCCTTTCTCTTTTCTTTTTGATAAGTCTTATTAGAGGTTTATCAATTTTATTAAATTTTCCAAAGGAGCAGCTCCTTATTTCATTAATCTGTTCTATTGTTTTTTTTAGTTCCTATAATCATTTATTTCTGCTCTAGTCTGTTATTTCTTTTTAGTGACGTTAGGCTTCATTTGTTGTTCTTTTTCTAGCTCCTTTAGGTGTAAGGTTAGGCTTTTTATTTTTATTTGAGGTTTTTCTTGCTTCTTGAGGTAAGCCTCTATTGCTATATACTTACCTCTTAAGACCACTTTTGCTGCATCCCAAAGGTTTTGCACTTTGTATTTTCATTTGTTTCCATTTATTTTTTTATTTCTTTTTTGATTTCTTGGTTGACCCATTCATTGGTAGCATGTTGTTTAATCTCCATGCATTTGTGGTCTTTCATGTATTCAAAAAAATTAAAATTTGTGGATACAGATTAAAGAACAAATTCTATGTACTCACCACCTAAGCTAGCCATCTAAGTTTGCCATCTATTAAAAAATAGAACTTTACCATAATTCAGAAGCCTCCTATGTGTCCCTCCCTCACTGCATTCCTTTCTCACCTTCTGAAGTAGTTAACCATCCTGAATTTAATGGACATCATTCCTTTGTTTTTTATTGTTTTCATCATATATGTCTTCACTCCTAAATCCAATGTTTAATGCCTGTTTTAAAATTTTATAATAGAGTTATGCTGCGTATATTTTTCTGTGACATGCTTCTTTTGTGCAAGATTATTTTTGAGATTTATCCATGTTGATGTATGGAGTTATATTTTATTTCCACTGTTGTATTCCATGGAATTAATATACCCTAATTTATTTCTCCATTCTATTTATGGACATTTGGACTGTGTCCAGAGTTTTGCTGTTATAAACAATGTTGCCATAACTTTCTCTGGCATATGTCATATGCAAGAATATATCTATGGTCTATTTATAGTAGTAAAACTACTAGGATATAGAGTGTGCACATGTTAAATTTTATAAGATAGTACCAACATGGCTTCAAAAGTAGTTAAAGCTATTTCCTCTTTCACCAGCAGTAGAGTGGTATTCCTCATTGCTGTAGAACCTTCCTGTCATTTGGCATTTATCCACCTTAAGGAGTTTTGCCAATCTGGTGGTGTCAAATGGTATCCCAAAATGATTTGAATGTAGATGTCCCTGATTACTAGTGATGTTAAGTATTTTTTATATTCAACTTGTGCATTGTGTATTTTCTTCTTTCTTCGTTTCTATTTCCCGTTTTTCATTTAGTTTTTTATCCTTTCCTATTTGATTCATAGGAATTCTTTATATATTCTAGATGCTACTAATTTGCCAACTATAAATGCATTGCAAATATTTTCTTAGTGACTAATTGGATATGAGAGGTGAGAGAGAAGGCATATAGAATTACTCCCAGGTTTCTGGTTTGGGGAACTGAGTGGTTGCTAGTATTGTTAAACTAGGACATCGAATATAGGAGGAGAACTAGATCTGGAGGAGGGGAATTTGAGATATTTTGGAGTTTGATGTTTCTGTGGGATATTCAGATGTCTATGAGACATCTCCATATGAGGGTCTGAAGCTCAGGCGAAATCTGTTAGGCCACATCAGTCCAAAGGAGTCTTGTATGATGGGCCTTTCAGAATACTGCAGTTGGAAGGAATATGATAATTCTCAAACTCATTTGTCTTCTACCCATTGGATACTTCTATGAAATACATGTCCCAGTCAAATGACCCACCAGACATTTCATTTTAGTTATTATTTTATTACTTTTTTGATCTGCTAACAGTTATATAATCTTTCTTAACATCTCCAAGAGAGCACAGCATTTTTATTTTGAAACACATCCAGCATATCTGTCTTACATAACATGCAGAGTATATATCTAGATTTTAAAATTTTTCATTGCACAGTCATGTGTGGTATTTAGTTACAGAAGTTACTCCATAAACACTGAAAACAAGAAATATGTATATCTAAGAATCCTATTTTATGTAGCTTTTCATTAAAAATAGTATTTTCACATACATTTTCAGGTATTTCTAGGTTCTTCTATGTATTTGGAGTTGCATATATATATATATATAACCACTGGAAGAATATGGGCCCCTTGGGAGGATAGCAGTAGAAGTTCGTGGAGTAAAGGTCTTTCTTAAAAAAGGAGATTGTATTATGGGTACTTTGTGAAGTTCTGAGAACTCTGATAAGTCCAGAGGTGGAAATATCCCTTAATAACAGTTAGAAGATAGGACATGTGAGGAAAGTGTCAGTAGTAGGGCTAGGATCTGGTACATTCACTGAAAATGTAGTACCTCAGCATAGCTTATAGTGCCAGGACAGGGTGATGAACCGTCCACCTCCCTCAAGGAGTAGTAGCAGCTAATTTGGTGACAGTGGTTGGTCACCTTTTAAGAGAACTGCAATCCAGGGACAATAATGGCTTGCATATATTGTGTGCAGGGAAATGATGGCAGAGGTAGTCTCTTTCTGGTCCATCTTTATCAGTATTACAGTGATTATCCTTCTCTGTTCAAGGAGATGTTTTAGATCTGTAAGAAAAGAAAGGAGGTGTAAAAGTGTGATACTCAACTTTGGCTTCAGCCTGGGTTCTGCTTGGAACATTCTGAGTCCCCAGGTAAAATATTTGATGAGCTTTCTTGCTGCTATATCATCATTGTGGATTACAGGGGCTGCTTTTTTTTTTTTTTCAAAGATTTTATTTATTTATTTGACAGAGAGAGACACAGCGAGAGCAGGAACACAAGCAGGGGGAGTGGGAGAGGGAGAAGCAGGCCTCCCGCAGAGCAGGGAGCCCGAAGTGGGGCTCAATCCCAGGACCCTGAGACCACGACCCGAGCTGAAGGCAGACGCTTAACGACTGAGCCACCCAGGCGCCCCAGGGGCTGCTTTTTTAAGGCCAGGAAAGGCTTGGGGGAAATTCAGTAGCTTTGCTTGAATAGTTAAAGCTCTGCCACAAGGTCGACATTTCTAGATAGGTAGGTTAACCTTTAATACCACGCAAGATAAGATCTCAGTATAAAATAAATAGAGGTAGAGGCAAGCGTGATGGTAAACACTTTCAAGCCAAGGCCACAGGAAAGCTCAATGCAAATATTTCTGACTTCCCAAAATTGACATTTCTTAAAGAACAGTTTTTCTGCAAAGAGCAGCAAACCTACCTTTCCTTGCTAATAGCTCTCAATAAAATCTTGATTTTCTTAGACTCTGGATTCAGACATCTTTTCTCCCCATTCTTTTTCAGTGTGGCACTGTAGAAGGGTGAAAATATTTAAAACAGTCTTGGGCCAATAAAACAGATGGAATATAGTTTTTAGATCAGATGTTTATGTTTCATTCTAGATATTTCCCTTTGTTATACAGAGGTCTTGGAATCATTACAGACCTTTTACTGATTTTGTGATCATGCTTACATATTTAATATATGATTACGATTAGGGAAGTGATATTCAGACGGCATTTTACTCACATGATCTCAACACGTGGACAAGATTGACTTGCAGGAATCACTTCAAGTTTTTCTAAGGACTTTGGATTTACAGATCCATCACTAATCTTGATACAGGTACAGCGTGTAGTTCTAGAGAGAGGTATTCCTGTGGGAAAAAGTACAGAGAGCAGGGGAGGTTAGTGCAGTTTTCAATTTAGGCATTGAAAGGGGAATTGGTTACTGCTTAGCAGAACCAATATCCCCATGTCATTTGAGTCCGTCGGAGAAAGAATAATACCATTTTAACACAGCTCTGAATGATTAATTAGTTGGTTATATGAAAGAATGGAATTGCAACTTGTGAAATGTAAATTCATACCCTTGAATGGTTCGAATGGTTAATTAAGCTGAGTTGACTAAGGAGGTATCTGTGTCATCCTCTCTTTCCTCATTCCCTTACATTTTTTCTGTATCCTCTTACGCTTCCTCTTCTGCTCCTCCTCTGTTTTAGTCCATTTGCTTTTCTGACTGTACACTCTGTGGCCAGAGGGAATCTCTGCTTATTTACCCTTCATTTATAGGCAGGCTGTAAAACTTTTGCGAATACACTATTCCTATTATAGAATGTATACCCAGTTCTATTTCTGACCTTACAAATTAAATATCCCTTCATGTTCCTTACCTTGAGTTCCAGTCAGAGTCAGAAAGATAAGGCAGAAAATAAGAACAGCACTTTGGTTCATGATGCTGTGACTGGAGGTTCCTCTGCAGTAGGCTCAGAAAGTCTAAGCAATTGAGTGTCTCAGAAAATGTGGGGCTAGGATGCAGTATTTATTTGCAAAGGCACTTTCCCTCTCTAACTCTGATTGGGTAACATTATAGTTGACTCAGCAAAACCTGGTGTCTGTTCCTTGGGGAAGTCCCATGTTGCAGAATCAAAGATATTGTTAGTATTTATTGTGATTCTGAGTTGTGGAATTTCCCTCCACCTCCTTTTTTCACTAAGAGTGAGTTAGGTTTCACTTTCCAAAATATGAATGGTTTCTTGAAAAACAGAAGTTTATTGCATGTAAGTTTTTTTAATGAAAAACATTTTAATGAACCTTTTTAAATGAAACTTTGATTCTCATCTTTTGCTTTCTGCAAAATAAAGATGTCAACTTAATCCTCAAGTCAGAGTCCTAAATACAGTTTTTTTTTCAAGATTTTGTTTAAATTCCAGTTAACATAGTGTAATATTAGTTTCAGGTGTCGAATTTAGTGATTCAGTACTTACATACAACACCCGGTGCTCATCACAAGTGCCCTCCTTAATCCCTGTCACCTTTTTAACCCACCCCCCTGCTCATCTCTCCTCTACCAATCCTCAGTTTGTTAGTCTCTGTAGTTAGGAGTCTGTTTCTTGTTTTGCCTCTCTTTTTCCCCCATGTCCATTTGTTTTGTTTCTTAAATTCCACATATAAGTGAAATCATATGGTATTTGTCTTTCTCTGACTGATTTTGCTTGGCATAATACCGTTTAGCGCTGTCCACACCATTGCAAATGGCAAGATTTCATTCTTTTATGGCTGAGTAACACAGTTTTAAAATGAGTATATCTATGCTGTGTTTTGAATCTATTTTAATTTGCAGCATTAAGTCATGAATATAAATATATTTATTCACTTTATGGGTTCCAGGGATGTCATATATTTTTTCTTTTTATCTCTACAGTAACCTGTAAGAAAATGGGAACGTTGTTATCTTCATTTTACATATGGAAGAAAATTGTGTTAGGTCATACAAAGGTTGTAATCTATTTAATCTACTTACTATGCTTTTTCTCAACATTTGTCTTAAACTTTTGTAATTACTTTCAGAGGCTAAGAAATTTTTTTTTTAAAGATTTCATTTATTTATTTGACAGAGTAAGAGAGAGAGTGCGCACGAGTGGCAGGGAGGGGCAGAGGGAGAAGCAGACTCCCAGCTGAGCAGGGAGCCCATGTGGGGCTCTACTCCAGGGCTCTGAGATCATGACCCGAGCTGAAGGCAGACGCCTAACCGACTGAGCCACCCAGGCTCCTCAGAGGCTAAGAAAAATTTTAAAAGTTCTTTAGTAATAGCAATTTTTCATCCTTTGTAGGTAGATCTAATTTTTGGAAATAATTTAGCCAAGCATTGTCTTTTGATCAAATACTATAAATAATAGGTTTGGTCTTCTTGGACAAGGTCAAAGATCTGGAACTGGCAAGTTTCAAAGAATTCCAGAAATGTTTTGAACAGTCATGACATCATTAGAATAACTGAATAGTCTTCTACATATAACTGTTGTGAGGGAAAACACTACTTGTTTGGATATCTGATTTCTGTTAGTGTTGGTAAGCAATTTTTGTGTATTTCAGAAAAGTCCCTGAATGAAACATCATAAGGTAATATCTAGAATGGCATAAAAAAGGATTAATAGCTATGATAAGATTATTGCAAAAAACAAAGTATTTCCTTTTTGAAGAAAATTTATTTTTGTTTTTTTAAAAAAATTTTAAAAGATTTTATTTATTTATTTGAGAGGGAGAGGGAGAGTGCTCGTGCACATGCAGGGGGAGCAGCCGACAGAGGGAGAGGGAGAAGCAGGCTCCCTGCTGAAAAGAGAGCCTACCAACAGCATGGGGCTCAATCCCAGGACGCTGGTATCATGACCTGAGCTGAAGGCAGACACTTAACCGACTGAGCCATCCGGGTGCCCCTGAAGAAAAATTTTAAAAAGGGGCATGAATAGAGAGAGACCTTGGGAGAACAGGATGAAAACAGAGGTTGATTTAAGATTGATACAGCTCAAAGTCATTGTCAAATGTGAAGCAGAGGATAAAAAGTGTCAGTTGTTAAACTGGTAGCCGTGGTAGCAAAATTAGCATAATTTTAACAGGGCAAATAGGGGCAAAAATTGGTTTCTTAGTATACAGTAGCACTTGGCTGATTAATTCACAGCAGGTAACACCAGTCAGTAGGAAGCAGGTGATACCCATATAGTGTAACACGTGTTGGGCCTAACTGGAAATTCATTATCCAAGGGATATAATAGTTTTTTTGCAACTAATTGGCAATATGGGATTCAAGGCGAAATGCTGTTTGAAATGCAGGCATCATGCTGCAATGGGAAGTCTCATGCAGGTGAATACTTGGAACCTAGGGAAGTATCTGGGAAATCTTTTCATAGTCAGCTAAGCTGCAACAATTTACAGATAGGCCCGGTTAAGGCTGTTTCCATCCTGGGATTAAACTGGTTTAGGTGGTAGACACTGGTTTAGAACTTGGCACAGATACCATGAGAAGAGCCCATATCTGCAAACTGGGCACACATAAAACTTGGAACCTCAAATGTAGGAATTTTGTCATCAGAACAGTGACTAAGTTGTTGCTTGAGGCAGGCCAAAATTGCTGGAGTGCTAAATACCAGCTCAGTCTGTTCCAGGGCTAAGCTTTCAAGTCAGTAAGTCAGGGGACTTAGCTGTGGGAGACTGGAAAGACAAAAGGAAGGGAAATGAGGCCAGACTGGATAGAACCCAGACGACTTTCACCTAGCAAAGAGACTTTCTTCTGATGAGGGTAAGGCTCATGAGAGACAGTGATATGGAGGGGACCTCTCATAGCTGTTTGTGCAGAATAAAAAATTAGACTGTGAGTAAAAATGCCAGAATTTTCAGAGAAATGTCTGACATCAAGGATGGAAGAGGTTCTGAACTGTTCTAACATTAAAAAAAAAAAGTAATAATTTTACTTTTGTATATAAATTCTCAGCTAAGATGCTCTGTATATAACAAAATAAAGAGAGTTTGAGGCAGATTACCTATGAAGTGGATTAGATATGTTATTAATGAGAAAATATTTCTTCTTTAATTGGTTTTTTTAAATTAAACATTACAAAGCAAAAACTGTGTGCCAGGCTATGTTTGAAGTGTTTTATGATTATTGACTCAGTTATTCCTTAAATAATGACTCATTTAACCCAGAAATTCTAACTCTAAAGTCCATGTTTTTAACAGCTCTGTTAAGCTGCCTCTTTAGAGAGGATATTGTTCTTGATTTGAATTTCTGATTTCCATTCTGTCTAAATGGCTGAGGCCATCTTTGAAGTTACTTTGGGTGCTTCAGTAATTAAGAAGAAAAGGTTTAAGATGGATCTCACACTGGAATTCATACTAAAATGGAAAATGCTGTGGTATATATATGTCATTCATAAATGTATACAAATATACATGAATGTTAGCTGGTAAACAATCAGATAGATACATATGTATATACTTCAAAGTATTTTTATTCACTTATTTTTTTAAGTTTTTAATTTTAATTTCAGTACAGTTAACATACAGTGTTATGTTAGTTTCAGGAGTACAATATGGAGATTCCACAATTCTATACATTACTCTGTGTTTATCATGATAAATGTACTCTTTAATTCTCATCACCTATTTCACTCATTTCCTTACCCACCTCCCCTCTAGTAACCATCAGTTTGTTCTCTGTAGTTAAGAGTCTTTCTTGGTTTGTCTTTTTTCCTACGCTAGTTTTGTTTCTTAAATTCCACATATGAGTGAAATCATATGGTATTTGACTTTCTCTGACTGACTTATTTTGCTTAGCATAATATTTTCTAACTCCAACCATTTGTTGCAAATGTCAAGATTTCATTCTTCTGGCTGAATAATATTGAATTGTATATATATACCACATCTTCTTTATCCATTTGTCTCTTGTTGGATACTTGGCCTGCTTTCATAATTTGGCTATTGTAAATAATGCTGAAGTAAACATAGGGGTGCATGTATCCCTTCGAATTAGTGTTTTTATATTTTTTGGGTAAATATCCAGTAGTGCAATTACTGAATCTTAGGGTAGTTCTAGTCTTTTTGAAGAATCTCCATACTGTTTTCCACACTGGCTGTACCAGTTTGCATTCCCACCAGTGGTGCACTAGAGTATATTTTTTTCCACATCCTTGCCAACACCTTTTGTTTCTTCTGTTTTTCATTTTAGCCATTCTGATAGTTGTGAGGTGATACCTCATTGTAGTGTTGATTTGCATTTACCTGATGAGTGATGTTGAGCATCTTTTTTTTTTTTAAGATTTTATTTACTGGGGGGGGGTGCACAGAGGGAGGGGAGAGGCAGACCCCTGCTGAGCAGAGAGCCTGATGCAGGGCTCCATCCAAGGACCCTGGGATCATGACCTGAACTGAAGGCAAACGCTTAACTGTCTGAGCCACCCAAGTGCCCTGGGCATCTTTTTGTGCGTTTGCTCACCATTTGTATGTGTTCTTTGGAGAAATGTCTGTTGATGTCTTCTGCCCATTTTATTTATTATTTTTTAAAAAGATTTTATTTATTTGGGGGAGGAGAGCATGCACAAGGAGGGGGGAAAGGGCAATGGGAGAAGCAGACTCCCCACTGAGCAGGAAGCCCAGAGCCAGATCATGACTTGAGCTGAAGGCAGATGCTTAACCCACTGAGCCACCCAGGTGCCCCTCTTCTGCCCATTTTAATTGGAGAATTTGTTTTTTGAGTATTGAGTTGTATTAGTTCATTGTATATTTTGGATACTAATCCTTTTATCACAAATGTCATTTGCAAATATCTTTTTCCATTTAGCAGGTTGCCTTTTAGTTTCGTTGATTGCATCCTTTGCCATGAAGAAGCTTTTTATTTTGATGTAGTCCCAATGGTTTATTTATTTATTTTTAAACATCACAAATACGATTTTTTATTTGTCACCATTAAATGTCTGACTTTTAAACAGATTCTTGGACTGGTGGCTCATATCCATCAGCTCGT